GCCGCCTCAGCGTTGGGCTCCTCGCGGGTGTCTTCCCCTTCTACCTTCAGCCTGGAGCGCGAAGGACGGAGTGGGCCTGACCTCCTTCCAGATGTCTCCAAATGTTGCTTTTCCGTTGGCGTCTTCTGTCAGTTCAGCTTCTCTTTTGTCTTTTTCAGGGTTTCACAGTCTTGAACTACTGGATTTTTTTTGGCTACTACACGCCTGAAGATGTTGATTGACAGCTAAAGTCAGAATTGGTTCTAGATGCTGTGTAGATGCAAAGCAGCACAATTCTCTATCTAAATTTCTTAATCTTTCCTGCTCTCAGTGGTCGTCTTTGAATTTACTACAAATTCACTGACTTCGAGTAGATGGATTGCAGAAGCCTACCCCTCCCTGCAGTGAGAAACCCAAAGCTTCACGTGTAAATTGTCCGTAGAAACTGAACTCTGATGGCTTGTTTTTCAGAAATAAATGAGAAGTCAAGAAAGGACTTGGCCTAATTTATATTGCTTTGCACTTTTGTCTGACTTTAAAGAAAAAACATTCTCCAATGAAATTTGGGTGCCAAACACATACCCAGAATGTACAGAGCTTTGCTTTTGGAGTCACCATTGTCCTTTAGACTTTACTCTCATGACCGATTCAGAGCCTGTTTCGTTTGGTAGGAGTGTACGTTGGACTCTTAGAAATATTTCTGAATTGCTCAGTAATATTTTTGGATTACAGTTTACTTGTTTCTGCACCAATACTTTCTTTTAAATTAAAGATTACCTGTAATTCAGGCTAGGTTATCGAAACTAGTTGTATAGCACTGTCTTTTCCTTTTAACTGTGCTCTGTACTACAGCCGTCCTGCGCTTCCTAATGTTTCGGTATAGTAAAACCTTTCCATGTGTGCTTGCCTCATTTCGGATACTGTATGAGCATGTAGATAAATGTACATAGCAGCGGGGCCTCCGGGGGCCGGGCGTCAGGCTCTCCTGACGCGACACACTAACACAGAAGGCGGTAGCACTTGCCCGCGGGACGTTCGAACTGCTGGCGCTGCAGGGGTTCGTACGAGTTACCCAGACGTTTTCTCTGCAAAAGGAGGTTTTCAGTATTCATTAGGATTTTTTTTTTTTAAATGGGAACGACATATTTTAAGATGTAATTTCTGAACTTTTTAAAAATTAAAAAAAACCCCACGTTTAATTTATGTTCGGTATGTTACATTTTTGTGCCGCAGCATTTACCGATGTCTTTCTGCTGACACCAGGAGGTGCTCGCAGCCGCCTGCTGATGTCCTTCGGTAGCATCAGTTCGGCTGCTCGGTGGAGAAGATGCCAAGGGCCAAAGTGAAATTTATCCGTGTTTGATTTGTCACGCTTCCCCGCGGCGGAGCGGAGTCCCTTCCCCTCAGCGCCCTGCTGGCCGCGCCCATGGCCGCGC